AAACCAGTCTGTGATTCTATGATTCTATGACATGAGTTCAGGAGCTATACTTTCATCTTTGTTCTAGTATATTGTGTTTCCCAAGCATCACTTTGTAACAAAGTCAATACAGCAAATATTCATATTTGTTGTATTTACTTTTAAAATAAGAGGACATCATTGTTTTAGACACACAACACTTGATCTTTAAAGGAAAAATGTAAGTACTTCAAACTAGCAAACAACATGGCTTAGTTCAGGCAATGAATTTTGAGAAGAGCATAACATGAGTTTTTTAACTCATTACTGCAAAAAGTTGGCATTAAATAAATCATATGCATTTTAATAAGACTTTTTACTTAATACTTAAATGGTAACTAGATATTTCAGCGTTTCAGAAAAGTCCATAACACTGCTAAAAACATTAGGTTTCAGAGGCAAGTGATATCTCTTGGCAGCTGTAAGAGGTATAAAGAGTTAGACATTTCGCATGTTATTGTGGAATCTTATTGAATAATTTGCAAGTGTACAATAAGCTTAAAACAGTTTACGTTTTATTTCTTTAAAATAGGAAACTGATTTCTTCTGGTACTGAAATCACTAAAACACAACCAAATAAATAATGAGCTTTTGTGGGAAAAGAAGAATATAAGTGCTACGTTGCAAGACGATTAGACTTCATTATCAAGTCAGTTATGTTTATGGTTTTCTCTACTGTATTCCACTTGCCTATAAGCAAACTTTACAGTCTATTTAATAAGAACGTGTAAGGACTTTATTTGAATGAGAAGGATTTTTATTGAAAAACAGAAATCAAACATTTTTAAATGAAAACAACTATGCATGTCCTATTATAGTCCCAAATTCTGCAGTATCTACTGTTATTTTATGATTTGGATGATCATGAGAATTGCAATCCACACTGAATGTGGAATTTATGTTTAATTTTGATACTAAATGACACAGAATGGGAAAAATGAAACAAGAACTAGTAATAGTAACTTACTTTTCGTAACAACTCCTTCAAGGCGAATTATATTTGGGTGATCAAATTGTCCCATGATACTAGCTTCTCTGAGGAAATCTCTTCTCTGCCTGTCCACATAGCCACCTTTTAGAGTTTTAATTGCAACAGGTATCTCTCTTTTTCCTGGTGTCTTCAAACGTCCACTGCATACTTCTCCAAACTCACCTTAAATAGATAAAATATTTGTTAGATCATTCACAGTGTCTGAAGAACTATAGCACAGTTTGTACTGCTGAAGTTATACACCTTATTTTTCAAAATAACCTTCAGTAGCTGTCTTTAAAGTTGTATTTTTTTATGAGTTCAGAGTTATTTGTAGTTGTCAGCGAAACAAGAATGCAAAAATATTTAAGAAACACATATCCCATAGACCTAGACAGAGAAATAATGGATGGGATATTCAAGTTCACAAGTTTCATCATATCCCAGGAAAGAAAAATATTCAGCATTACTTCACAACAAATAATCACCTTTCCTTTGTGCCACATCATGAGATGACAGGGACTTGTACTTTCACTGCAACAATGGTCCCAAACAATCTGCCCTCCATAGTGTTGTTCATCTTGTTTTACTGACACTTTGAGACTGAAACTATGATATCAATATGTTTGCAACAGAACTCAGAATTCTATGAGTAAGGAATGTGATGACACTTAGATTTTCATAGTGATGAAGACAAAATATCTATCTAAAAAAACTACTGATAACAGTATCTATCCATAAGGGTGTCATGCCCGAAAGCCTATATGAAAAAAAAATGCCATGAGAATACCTGACTATCCCTCAATTTCAGAAAGCATTTAAAAGAACTTAATGCTATTATGCCACAGTAGAGCAGTTGCATATGATTTTTTATATGAATTTACACACCTACTTGAAATTAATTACATATTTCACTGTTCAGACAGCCAAAAGCCAACAGTTTCAGCAAATCAGGACTGAGCTGTGTATGAGAGGAATCTCAAAGCTTGCTTCAGTTGATGTTTTCCTGTGTATGTAAGGGCCTTTGAAGAATGCATGTCTCCTCGCACTCCCTTTACAGATTTACTAATTAAGTTTGTCTGGAAATCACAATGTTCCTTAGATCCTGAAGACAGTCAAAAGTTATTTAAAGCCCCTAGCAAATATACTCTGCATGCCTGAAGGTCAGATTTCAGTGGGTCATAATTCAGTAAATATAAACCAATGTTCACAAAAATACATAAAGGCAAGTCTCAGTGCAGGGTACTTCCATAGCAAAACTAAATTTTGTACCCCTGTGATTTTGAAATCAGAACTGTTGAAAAATAAACAAAAAAAAAAAAGTCATAAACAGATATATATTCAACTGGAGGAAATAATTTGTTACCCCCTCCATTCCATGCTGTCTGAATTAGTGTTCCTTAAACTTTAAGGACAGCACAAAAGAAAACAAAACAAGAGAGTTCTATCCTGTAACAGTGTGAGTTCAGATATGAATGTAGAAGAGAGAGACCTTAAAGGCAGAAGCTTCACTTCAGAAAATTATAACTCCCTGATGTTACAGGATTAGAATGGATATTGTTATACAGCTTCTATTTTATTAGGTTCTGTTGCTTCCACTTAAATAAAATAAGGTTTTATTAGGCAGTAAGATCCAGGAAGAGTGGAGGGATTAAAAAAACAATTTCATAGCTTGTCTTTCACTTCAAAACAGAGACATCATCAAGTGCAAGAGTACAATTAACAGATGTTGAACATAACCTCTGAATAAATTAGCAGCTTCTTAAACAGCTAACAAAAGCCAAGTGTTCTAGATCTTCTTTCTACCATCCCTCTCCCCCATTTGTTTTATTTCTACTTAATTTTAAGAAACAAATCAAAATGTGTTCTTCCCTGAAAATGTATGTATATGTGTGAAATATATGTCATTAGACTAATGCTTTGGGAATCTTTTGACAAAAGGGATATTTGGATAAGGATTTTCCTACAGATTTTGCCCCTTTAGCTCTTAGAAGGCTCTCCTTAAAAGTCTGTTTTCCTGACTACTGCCACTGAAAAAGTAGTAGCTAATTTGGACTTCCAAAGTCCTACCATAAAGTCATGGAATGTGAATATTTTGAAAAAGACATGGTATATCAATCTTCTATTCTGTGATACATGGAGCAGCACTAGAACGAATCTCTAAAGCCGTGACCTCTGCCTTTTCAAAGTCAAATACTTAAAATGAGAAAAATTTCCAATTTCTTTCTCTCGATGTGAAAAGCAAAAATATTGAAGCCTTAATATCCAGATTCTAAAAGAGATTTCATGATCAATAAATTTGCAGAAATGCAAAACCTAATTTTTGAGAATAATTTGGAAAGCATAGGTTATAAATTGTTTTGCTAGTTTAAAATTATACAAGAATAGCTCAACTTCAGAATTTCATAAATAATGACATTCATACTTCAGGGACTGTAAAGGGCTGTTCACCAAATGTTTTGAAATGAATTAAAGTGAAGGAGGCAGCGAAGGACTTACAATCTCAAGATTTATTATCTGTAAAACATCCAAAGCAGGGGAAGGGAACACCGTGTCTTCTCCCTGACCTATTTCTTTTCCCTTTTTTGGACAAATGATTTGTATAGTTAGAAAGAAATTTCACTCCTTTTGGATACTGGTGAACATAAAGACTAACTGCAATTTTTTTTGACAGAATGTCAAACAGACAGTTTGATCATCAGCTCACAAAACAGTTACTACTTTTGGAAACCTAAGGTATGTGTAATAACTTCTAGTTCTGATTTAGATTAGATGGAGATATATATATATGAGATATATATATTTTATATATATATATGTTTATCATATAATTTGAAGCATTGAATAATTTACACTGAGAAAGAGTTTGACAAGATTTCATCCAGAGTATTTTTTCTGGAGTTCTGTTTGGATAAAGAATTTTGAACGTTGTTAAAGTCAAAGGGGAATGTATTCAACAACAGGGATTTTTAAAATCTAAGAATCTAAGTCTCGTTACTTAAGTTTGGCAAGTGTTGACCCTGCAGCAGTAAAGGTTCATGACTGCATGTGTAATAAGTAGAAGCTAAGAGCCAGATGTCAATGAAGTCAACTTCTTTCTTTGCTCCAGGGAAAAAGCTGCTGATAACTAGAAAAAGAAGTAAGAGTTCATTTTCTGTTCAGTTTTAATAAAGTGCAAATAATCTCTGGTTTAATGATATAAACCCCACACATCTTACTGTATGTTATACAAAAAAAAAAGCTAATTGAGCAGTCTAGAAACTTACCCTATGCAAACCACGCAATCCTTTTCTCATTCAGTGATAACATATGTGTTATTTAAAATGAAACAGGAATGTCAGTCACTTAAAATCTGATATGCAGTCTGGTATTACTACATGGGATCAAAGCAAATGTCTTACAATATAGACAGTTGCTGTTGACAGAACTGCAAGGTCACAGCACCAAATACAGCTCAACTTGTTTTCCCCAGTTTTAGTCATTAGACCTGTGGGAGAACTGGCAGAGGATTTAGATTACAAAAAAAATATAGTTTACGCTGTGAAAAATCAAAGAGTTCCCTGGATTACAACATTTTAACAAAGAAAATGAAAAGATAATTGTAATTTTTAAGACTTGGCAAAGTACCTCTGAGAATGCTTTCCATGAGGAGGTGCTGAAGCCTTAAACTGAAAAGCAAGGAGTGATGGGGCAGAAAAAAGTGTAATTGACATGACAAAATCAAATTATATGATAACATGTCAGTAGATGCTGCAACCTGAATATAAAGAGTGGCTGAAAGAGACCATCTAAAGAAAATTTAGATGGCAAATTGTGGGACCTTTGTACTGAACCAGTTGGAGTTGTCATGGAATGTTTAATATTAGTGATAAAAATCCCAGCCAAGAGTTCTGAATCCAAGAACATACAATATCAAATTGGACAACAGTAAAGCTTTGCCACAAGTAGTGGATAAAATAAAAGGGAATCGATTAATCAATGTCACCATTTCAACAGTAACTATTGCTAGAATTTGAACTTCATTAATATCTGTTTATTTGGTTGATGGTACCATGAAAAAGATAAGCAAAGCACTTACAAATAGGTTCTGTTCTGCCTTTGGTGTTGTAATCTGCTTGCTATTAGAAATTTTTGATCAAACTGCAGTTTCCACTTGGTTGTAAACTTTTTCCCCTATTGCCTTTATCTTCCAGTTTGAACCAAGACTTCAGCAGAAGTTATTAGAAGACTGCACTGCAACTAGTGAATTGTCAAGAGCTCCTGGACGTGACTTTTTCAGTGAAAAAACAAATTGGAAACTGCTTTCTGTAAAAGATCAGTTTCAAAAATCTCTTGGCCAGAAATGCTAGGAAAAAAAAATTCAAATATTTGCAATGTTCCAGTTTGACATTTTCAAAGTGAAAACTTTTAGTATTGAATGGAAGTAATTTTTGTTTTGAAAATTTAAAGATGCAGAAATTCAAAATGAAAATCATTAATCAAAATAAACTGTTCAAACAAAACAAATTTAACAAATGTATTGATTAATTCACTTCTTAAAAGATTTTAAGCTTTTATTTTGTAGAAGATTTCAATTTTTGCTTCACTTCGGTGAAAAGTGAAAACACCTTTTAAAAGTAATTCTCCTATCATAAGCAATCCATTTTACATGGAGTTTCAATGTTTAATATAGAATTAGAGAGAAGGTATAAAGAATGTTTTAGGACTGCTGTGAATTATAATGATATGTTATGTCGTCCAGCAGCTGTCAAAAACTCTGTGAGAATTTGTACTCTCTATGCCTCAGGCATGATATTTAACCTGTATCTTGCCTGCATGGAAATGGGTTTAAATTTCATTGCAGCCAGTCTGCAAGCCCTTCTAGGCAAATATCTTTGAAGATGGCAGACTACCCAAGTAATTTTAGAAGATAAAAAATAGAAAACTAAAACGTGTCAAAGCAGGCAAAAATTTACTCCCACACGTGAGAAAAGGAAGAATGAAGCTGAGTAAAGAATTTTCATAATGGTATTAACTTGAAAAGGACACAATTTTCATCTGAACTAAAATCAATAAGCTCACTCCTTGTCTGTTGTATTCAAGTGGTTTGAAATCAGCAGTTATACCACAATGCTGAATGTAGTTTAGTATGCTTTATAATCTAAGACATCAATATCTATCATATGTCTGAAGAAAAGGAAGAAATAAAAGAAATCAGATAGAATGCTTTTGCAGAAGTCAGCCCTCTGGGGCTCTCTCAAACTCATAATTCCTATGGTCCAAAGTGTCAGCTACATGTTATCTAGCTTAAGCAATCAGGTAAACTCTGAAGTACTCTATCAAAATGGACTGCAGCATGAAACAGAATTTTCTCTCTTTCAGACTGATACTTTCTCTCCCCTGTTTGTTAACAGGCCTGGTTTTATTTCTGTTATGTTATTAGAATGACATTTTCTAGTGCATTAATCCACTTTTTAATGAATTTTCTGCAATGCTGAAGACATTTCCATTGTTATCAGAGTGGTAATGTATCATTAAATGAGAGATCTCCACTGAAAAACACCTTGCTTTGAGAGTAACTAAGATAAATGAAACAAAGATAAAAAAGAAGGATGACAGCATATTATATCTTCTGATAGTAATTCTCCTGACAATACTTGCTAGCATGAGTTCTTTGGTGGGATCACTATGAGCAAATAATAATACATTTTTTCCACTGCCCCCCTTCTACAAGATGTAACTCTGATTATTGCAGTCTGTTGTACTGTGAAATGCTTTTTTTGCTTGATGACATTAAAGTTAGAGAAAGTAAACAAGGTTAAAAAAAGCATTTGTATGTTGACATTTACTTAGTAAGTAATAGAACAGCATTGTTAAAGAAAGCTCAAAATGGCTAGCTCAAAGATTGGTATTGGAGTATGGAACATACTAATTAATGATACCGAAATAAAACTACAGTGAAGTGAAGACAAAACTTCTGTGTAGTCAGTATTAAAAGTACCTTTAAGATAGCAATTTACAAAACTCAGTCATTCTTAGTATCTTAAGGACACAAACAAATATCTGTATTGTGTAAACTGAAGTCAGGTTAATGTCTTTCACAGGAAGAAATTAAATTTCAGAGCTGGAGTTAGAGCTGGATTCTGCTTCTATGTTTATCAAAATTTCTGATACAGACCTTTCGCTCTCCCACTTTCCTTTACTGTTTGGGCTGAGAAATTATCCATGCTCCCCAGGCACTAACAGTGTGTGGGTAACAATACAGAGGATGCAATGTATGACATGAACTTCAGGACCCTCCTTGTCAATGTGTTTGTTGTTTTAATTTGTTACTGTGTGAAATGTTGGTGGGCCTTCTGAATGACATGTTGGTCACAACTCATGCAGTGAGATCCACTAGTTAGGTAAGTTTGTAAGTCCTTTCTCTTTAAGTTCTCAGCATGTAAAACACAGAGCAAACAATCTCAAGACCTGGTAAGTATCAAAATGCTATCTGCACTAAACAGTCAGTACAAAAGTTACAAGAAATGGTTTTACAAGACTCTGATCTTTACAGGGATATAACTTTCGTTGTGTTAACCACAAAGGTGTGTTTTCTGTCACCACTGAGCTGCCATCAGGACCTTTAGTGAACTCTAGAGTGCATCCATGAGCCTTTATCCCTACAAAGGCTTTCCAAAAGTGAATGCGGGGGAACACTTGCACAGCACTGTCCTGAGAAGCAAAATCTAACAATTAAACAAAAGCTAAGATAAGAGGTTGAGAGTCAATGCACATAATAGACATGCCTATAATCAGAGCACATTAGCAAAGGATAAGATCCCTAAAAACATGAGGGGTGTGTCATATCCCTTGAAAAAAACCCAAAAGGCCTATATACATACAGGATTAATGAGCTTCTGAAACTTATTTTCAAACAGCATTGAAATGGCCTACAACCTGAACGGGATATTCCCAACCGAAGGTAAATACCCCATAGATATGAACAGGGTCTAAAATAATTGTGCAGATGTAATTCCTCTCTGTCCCCACCACGCATTCAGGGTGTGAGAGGAGATCCTGCTGCTATTTTTCTCATTCATCGTGCTTCCCAGATCCATGTCACCTTTCATACTGTCTATACCTTGTCATCAGGTCTTCCACTTTTCCTTCTCTGCCAATGATGCTTCTCTGCACAGCTACAGGAAAGCCTGTCCCAAGCCAGACTCTTCTTTTTCCCCTTGTACTCCTCCTATTTTCTATTTGAGAATATTTTTTTCTTAGTCTTTTAAATTCTTATCTTATCTGTGCCCAGAAACAGATTCTGACCTAATCTCCCCCTCAGTGGCAGAGAATATGTGACTATGGCAAACACTGAGTGACACAGTGTTTTGAGTACATTTGGAACAAAGCCAAAAAAAAAAACCCAAACCAGCAAAACAAACAAACAAAAAACCCAAAAAAAACACCAAAAAAACCCCAAAACAACCCCCCCCCAAAAAAAAAAAAACAAAAAAACAATCCTACCCCCAAAAAATGTATAAAGCTTTAAAAAAGCGATAAACCTATTGCTTTGGAGAATCTGCCTTATGTACACCAAACTTGAGACTGAACTGCTGCTATCAGAGAAATACTTGCATTATCCTGATGACATGAAAAAAGCAGCCTTTCCATGCCTAGACATTTTTTAAGTGGGTATACTTTTACCTGCCCCAATAACTCTCTCAATACGAATTCTTGAAGGATCTATTTCCTTTGCAAACTCATGGACAGCAAGAGAAGGGTCTTCATATGTGTCTGGATCAATATATGTTTTGATGCCTGGAAAACGTACTGCAAAAAAAGAGAAAATACTAGGAATCAAGAATTCTTTGACATTCATGCATTGTAACAATATGGTTTTCTCTTTTTTTTTTTTTTTTGGTTGACTACACAATTGAAAGGATTGGAAATAATGTATTAAAACTTCCACATTTAAAGTTCCAGAACCCAACAGAAGAGGATAATTACCAAAAATTACTAATGTTTGTGACTGATTTCACAGAAACCAACTGTAGAATGAACAAATTTTCCTTATTTGCTGTCAGCATTAAAGACTTCAAAGACTGGCTGAGCACAGACTTGAACATTTCCTCTTATCCTGCAAGAAGCTTTTTGAGATAAGGCTTCTGAGACACTGAAGAGCTGAGTGTTACAATTCTGTTGACAGAGGATAAGGTTTTGCCAACCCAACACTAGTGAAACTTTCAAAAGTACTAGTTGAAACCGTA